AATATCCAAACAGAATTAAATCTATCCCTCTCCCAGGATACAGGGTAGATAGGTGCCACTGGAGGGGATCTTGGGATGAGAGAGAGGAGGTGTCATCTACTCTTTTAGTCCATCTATTTAACTCCTCTGAATTCCTAGTGATGGGAATATCTAGGAGATATGAGGAGGAATGGTATGTGTTCATTTAATTGAGAGTAGTTGGAACTTTTCTCTTAGTTTTACTTTGTAGACTAACACCAACTCAGTCCTGGTGTACTTTGAGAAGCAGACATATAAATAATGATTGTTTTATGGCTAAGAGTGTAAGAGTGATTTTTGTTGTTTTGTTCTTTGGCATTTTGTACTGCTCACTGCCTTGACATGCTGGTGTTTTTCTGGATGTTTTTCTACCTCATCCACCTGCCTTAGCTCCTTTCATCAATTTAGTCCAGAGATACATGCTGCTTGTGTACAATTCTCTTGGCTCAAAAAATTGGTGAGATTCCTTTGGTTCATTTATTTTATTTTGATGTGAACTACACCCACAAGAAGATGCAGTACCCTAGACACACTAAAGAGTAAGTATGCAGATGCTCCATTATTTTCTTTCTTAAACTCCCAGCTCTCCTTTCTTTCTTTTCCCTGATCAGGTGTAGAAGCAAAAGCAAGTTTCTAAGTCTGCTGCCTAAAGCGACGTTTAGTTATAGGATGAGAGCCCTAGTCTTCCATTCTCTTAAGAAGATATTTCCAGTAATGAAATAATTAAATATATATGTAACTAAATAATATATAGAGCATATATATTAATGAAAGTCAAATATATGAGTATTAAATGCCTGAAATGGGTAATTGGCTATTGAGTACTTGAAGTGTCATTAGTACAGGTAAGAAAATATATTTTTATATTTAATTAATTTGTAGTTAAATCCAAATAGTCACATGTAACATTCATAGTAGCATTTTATCTGTCCATTTCAGAGTATGCATAATAAATAACTTACTTGTTGAAGTGATCTTTGTAGGCATTCTTTTCCATAAAAAATTGGTGTTAGTATCTTTTCTGGCTTTCTGTGTTAGCACTCACTGGCTAAAGTATTAGACAGCACAGTCGTAAGGACCTATTTGTCCATATGTACCTTTTCAGCCATATGTATCCAAGTATCTATTTGTCCATCTGTAACTTGGGGAGGAAAATGGTGACTGTTGGTTGACATCTCCTTATTAATAAGGTCTGGAAAGAAGTATCTGGACCCAAATATGACATCTTTGTGTTGAGAATCCCTACTCTGTAACCTAGAGCAATAAGAATATATTAGTCATAGTTCTTTCATAATCTGTATATTAAAAAGGCAACATTTGGATCAATGGGGCTATTTCTTTTTTATTTGTAATTCTTATTCTGGGACAAAAAGAGGAGGCTGCTATTTTTCAGGATTAGAGTTTTTAAATGACCTGAATTAATTTAATATCCAAAAGTGATGAAAAAGCTACATAATCTGCTAAAGATTTCTTACAATAATTGGAATATGGCATTCAAGAAAGCATGGGTAAAATAGTTTTGGAGAAAATACTTTTAAAATCCATTAGTTTTTCCAATTCAAAACTGATTCCTCATCTCTAGAGTTGGTTCTCTTGAGTTTCACCTCAACTATCTGGAAGCTGAATATGGAAACTTCATTTATCTCACTATTGTCTTCTTTATGATTTTTTTCTTCTTTTTCCTATTCTTTGCATTTTCTTTAAGTGACCCAGGATGTCTATTCTTTCTATATACTCATTCCCACTGGTAGTTTATCTGCTTATATTCTGGTAAGATACATGAAACAAAGTACTTAGAATCACAGCACAGAAAGAGGCCTTGCAAAAATAATCCAGTGTCATCTCTATCTGCCTTCCACCTGTCAAAAATATAATTTGTTATGGTAGTACATGTTTTTTTAATCATTGTTACACTATCACAAAAAAAAAGATCTTTGATCTCCAAAGGCACATTGCAGAGTGAAATATAGTCTGTGCCTACTTTCTAAATATAATTTAATGAGCCTGTAATGACAATTCTCTTTTAGTTTCTATTTTTCATTCATTTTTCTATTTTGAATATGATGCTTTCCTTTTTAAATATCACTAAAATCTTGTAATTGAGCAAACTCTGGACTGAGAATATAATAGTGCTAAGAAAGAGTACTTACTCAGTTATCAAGAAGCCTCTATCTTAAGTGATTTTACCCACAAGTTTTGTTCATAGTATGAATCAATAGAAGTGATCACAAGTCATTACTAAGGAACAATTACAGATTTCTGTTGTTTTCCTCTTTACTATATATTTAGAAGCATATAATCTCTACCTGTAGTTTCCAAATTAATGTGAAATAATTGAGTTCATTTTCAGATTTATTGTTCCTCATGTTTTGGGGATGCAGTTTAAAGAATTGCATGAAATACCAGCAGTCCAAAGTTATAAAATGAGGCACAAAATAACTCAAAAATCACTCATTTTGCAAATACATGTTTGGTAAATTATTTATTGAATAACTCTTTTATCAATAGCAATGTTCTACATTGGACTTAATGACATGATTCTTCTTCAGTCCCATCCCAGATGAACTTGATTTATTTTAAAAATGAAATACCTCAGTGTGACTCATTCCCTAAAGCCAAAGTTAACATTTTTCTAACATATATACATATATATATCTGTCTTATAGTAGGTTAAGGAAATGTTAGTATCAGGAAACCAGGGCAGATCACTTATATGTAAAACTTTTTTTTTTTTATGTAAAACTTTTTGTATTATAAATGTGAAAATATGTCCTGGGTATAAAAATGTCCTCAGAAATCACTTTACTTCTTGGCACAGACAGTTGTTCAGCCCTTAGTATTATTCAATGAAAAGCTACTACTCAGTGTTGATTTATCAGATGAAGTGAAAAAAAACCTAATTAAGTAAGACTGGTACATTACACTCAATTGCTTTTAACTGGTAATAAATATACTTACAAATGGGTCAAATAAACCTATTGTTTTATTATTAATTGGCTTTCATAAACACCATTCTGTAAATCTAGCTGTAATTATCTTAATTATATGGTATCTGTTGGCTACAATTCAGAGCTAGTAAAAAAATAAATGGCAAACAGTTAAAGTAACTCATCTTAGAAGTCATTACCCTAAGTTAAATCATAAAACCTCCTATAAACATATAGCCTTTTATCTAAGAAATCTAATTGTTGGGTAGCAGGTCATATTACATTTCATGTATAGGTCTACAAACCTACCATTTTGCAAACTAAAACTATTTCTAACAAATCTCATTTATTTTTCTAGCTAAGAAAATATGTATGCCATGTAATAAAATCTTTGCTCAAGGAGAAGCAAACTATGCAAATATGATGTCTAAGTGTAGTTTTTCAGTAACTGCGAAGGGAAAATTTAAATATTGTTTTTAAATCATGTAGACACTGTTTTTCAAGATGCGTCAAGTTTACCATTGAAGCTTGCTAGTCTGGGGGCTCTGCAAGACTGGAAGATACCAGGACAGTGAGACATAGGCAGACATTCAAACAGGTTGACTCAGTGATGTATTAGAGGAGGAAGTGCATCCTGTAGGTCAAACATAGCAACCAAATTGTAAGAGTAATAAATGATAGCCCAGAAAGAGAAATCACGTAGTTTAGAAGGGAGAACTGAGCAAATATTACTAAACATGCTGCTTTAGTATGGAAACTTTCAATGTGTAAGATGTTTTTACTGCTTTCTTTCATTTGCATTATCTCTATCTAAATCTCTGGGAGATACGTGATAGACTTGAACGTTTTTCTCAAAATATTTTTCTCCTTGTTCTCTACTTTGCAAGCCTTTTATATGTATTCCCTCAACAAGTATTTGCTAAATCAATAAATGAACCCTCTGTATCATTTGGTGGGTGAGGAGTGCAAATAAAAGAAGGTTTTTCAAAGCAAATAAAAAACTTAATGGTATAAATTATCCTTTTTATAGTAAATTTCATGATAGGAAGCCAAAAATACCTGACAATGGCTGAAAGCCTAAATCACAACCAAACATGGCACTATTGTTAATCATCTCGTTTGATAAACATCTGAAAGACTGAACTGTGCTATACATTTTGATAGAATATAAAAAAATACTGCATATACCATTTAAAGACTAACTGGGAAACACAAATAGTTGTGTACAAACATAGTAGATGAGGTCCATAGGAACATCTATATAATATACTCTATGAGATTTAGATAAAAGTAAACCTTAATACTAAAACCAATTATAAACAACCTAAAGGAGTATTGTTAACAAAAGAGGAAGGAAGTATGAACAGATATTTGTTAAGCTCTTCATAAGAATCAGACCTGAAGGTAGATGCTTTATATACATCATCTCCTTTGATCATCGTAACTACGTTTCAAATTCCACTGTATGCTGAACTGGCTTAGAGTTCCTCACAATAGCTTAGCTATTTATTATATATTGTCCCAACTCTGCATTCAGTAGCTTCACATCTTTAAATTAGTCATTGTGAGGGTATTTATAACATGGGTATCAGCAAAAGCTGCGTATCAGGCTTCTCCCACCCCATAACCCATGCTCACAAGAGCAAGGTTGTTAAACATTTACCAGCGCACCACTAATGGACATTAAGAAGGAGTACATAATGTGTAAGTTCTAAAATCCACTCAAATTTTCAAATTTTTTGACTATTGCAGATCAAATTGTGTAGCAATTTTTATCGAATTCTTTAATTTTAATGCACAATTTAGGTATTTGTTTAACATTTTTGGGTTGTACACCAGATTGTTTTTAATAAAAAATGTTAATTTTTAGTTACATTATGGATTTGTAAACTGAAAAGGGTTTGTTTCTTTGTACTGTGATATATTCATTTACTAATGAGGAATGATCTATTATTTAAATACTAAATATTATTATTAAGATTTATTTGAAAATGAGGTTTATTTAATACAACCTCTGATGATACCTTTGCCATTCTTTGTGTTGGTATTTTTCAGTGAGGCCCACAGTAATTGAAACTGATGTTTATGTGAACAGCATTGGACCAGTTGATCCCATAAATATGGTGAGTAATGAATATTAAAAATAGCTATCTGGCAAATGTTCTTAAGTATGAGCCTCAATAATGGAATAAATATGTGAGTTATTTCTGTTAGCTAATTTTTCATGAGTTCAGGGCAATATGTGCAACTACTATGTGCCAGGTATTAGGGAGCAAAGCTAAAATACTCCTGTATCTAAGAACATGTACACTGTTACTCCACTGTGCTGTGTGTTCAGTAGGAACTATGCTGGGGTATAAAAATAATCACCTGTTCCATTACAAGTGAATTCCTGAAAAAAATTCTGGAAAGGGGTAACCACAACGACTGAGGAAAGTAGTCAGAGAAGGACAGGGACTTAGATGACGGAGCCTGCGCAGAGTCATAGAGAAGTGCAGCAACCTGCTCAGATCAGCGCTTCCAGCAATTTGGTCAGACTAGGTCATAAAGTGCAAGCTAAGGAATTGAGGCTGAAAGAATGTTTAAGGGTCTCATTAAGGATGGTTTTGTAAGCCATGGTAGATATCTATGTTTTGTATGAATTGTATGAATTGTATCCTTTTAGATAAGAGAAATGATTGGAAACTTTTCATAAGGAGAGTGTCATAGGTTTATATTTTTAAAAGATCACTCTTAAAACAGTATAGAAGTTGGATGTAAGGGGCCAAGTGCAGAGTTAGAGAGACGAGTTAAGAGGTGGTTGCATTAGTCTGGGCAATAGATCTTCCATTCTTAGGTAATTCAGAATTCATATTCTGAGGTACTGGGGGTTAGAGCTTCAACATATGAATTTAAGGGGAACACAATTCAGCCTATAACACCTTCCAAAGAGAATTCTCTAGGACTGCTGATTTTCTCCTTTCCTTCATTTACTCATTATTACAACCACCAAATTGTCTCTTTATTACGGGCCTTACCCACTTTATGTTTGAATAATCATTATGCCTAATAATTGCCTGTGTCTTCTTATCCCTACAATATTATATGCAGGCTCAGTTTTTCTCCTACTCAATATGATTCACATGATCATCATTAACTTTCACAGCTGCCTGCACTGGCTACTGTACTGCCAGCATTTTGGCCACACCATAACTGACATCTTTATCTCCTTATTGCAAATGAATATGAACTGGCTGTGGGTAAGTTAAATTTGAGAGTCTGAAATTAGGAGCTAACTCTCAGGAGAAAATTAGCCTGGAGCAAATACTTGTCAGGAATTAGCTAAGCCTCTGAAAGATGGGAAAAACAGTCTTAAAGCAAAGAGAAGAAAAAAGGAATGAATATCAGACCTTAAGGAACACATTTAAGGACCTGAAAGAGAAGCTAAGGTACTAAATAAAACAGCAAGGTTGACAAGAAAATGAACATAAAACCGTGGTGAAGAAACCAACAAAAAAGAAAGTTTTAATGAGTTTTTTAATATTCGCTCTGCCCAAATTGAATTCCTATGCAACCAGTTGATTTTTGTAAAGATAAAGCATTCTGTATACCTGTGTGCATTAATATAACATTATGCAAATATGGTATTTCATAAAATAATGCATTAAAATGTTAATTTTCTTTTTAGGAGAATCTTAACAATGTTTAGTTTCTCACTAGCCAAAATTTAGAGAAGATAAGCTTGTTTACACATATGGTAGTCTACATTTTCCTGAACTGTATATTTTTTAATTTGGGCTTTTGTTTTCAGTTTGAATGAAACCATTAAAGAAAAATATGTGCTTATTTAAATAAAAAGATAGGATTCAAGGTTATATTAGTATTCCACAGACATTTTGACAAGACTGGCTGCCAAGAGGCTCCTTGATGATTTTCCTGTATAAAACTTCCACAGTAGTAAAGATTTGCTTTTCCCAGTGGGGCAAACTGTACACTTATAACCTTGGGCAGTGATAGTTTTAGAAAAGCTAATTAGATGAAATTGCTATTAAAACTGGTAATACTAAAGCACATATAATAAAAAAAATGGGTTACTGATAGTGTTTATTAAAAGAGAAGCATCATCATATTAGGGATTCATAAGGAACAGTTTACATAGAAGACTTCCAACTAAACAATGTAGGAAAATTAAATTCGGTTTTCATAAAATCATCAAAATTGCTTTGAATGGGGATGTAATCAAGCAAGCAGAATTGAGTATACTTAATTGAGCAAGAGGGTAGGTCCCCCCTTCCCACCCTGACTGCTCATCCAATCTAAGTTACTGGTGGAGAACAAAATTAATGTATTGATTTAATGTTTGGTGTTTTTTTTTTGATTAGCTAAAATTTGGTTTGGTACACATTTTTTTATTATGGTATCATTGATATAAAATTTTATGAAGGTTTCACATGAACAACATTGTTGTTACAACATTCACCCATATTATCAAGTCCCCCCACCCGACCATAGCCCATTGCAGTCACTGTCCATTAATGTAGTAAGATGCTACAAAGTCACTACTTGTCTTCTACTTTTTTTAATCTGGCTATATAAAATATTATCTCTATAGATTACTAAGACCTAAAACAACATCATTCCAAAATAGGGTATGCTTTTCCTTCTTTTATTTTAGGGTTTGATTATTATATATTAATATATATTATTATTTATTATATATTAATCATGGTTTCAATTTTGGTGTCACTATCAAAAAATAGTATATTCAATAGTTGCATGTTGAATCAATAAATTAGTCAAATATATTGTTTTTATAGTTTCCATTTTGAAAATTTAAATTCAAAATGAATAACAGATATGCTAATGAAGATTGAACAACTAGTATAACTTGGATAGCAGCTGACTACCTATGTCAGCTCTGATTAAAATTACCTTAAATATAAACAGAATAAAAACATGCAATCAGAACTATAGGCAAAAAAAAAAAAACAATCGATGTTATTAGACTGAATTAAAGTACTTTTTAACCTCTTGTTTTTTTCAGGTTTCGGGAGATTATGTATTTTTACTCTATTGAGTAAATGTCTCAGGATAATGAAACAATAGCATCTTACCTCCTGACTAGCTAGTACAATGTACAGGGGAGGGGTTATAGCAGTTCTCTGAATCAAGTAAAAAAAAAATCAATGAAAGCTCTAGGAAATACAAGATGAATTTATGATTATATCTAAGAGGAAGCTAAACACAAGAGGATAACAAAAACAGTTATAATTGAAAATTTTAGGTATAATTTGGACATGGATTTAGTTATACAGACTGATATACCTTTCTATGGTCCAATATTCAGAGGTGACTCATATGAAAGTGTAGGACCAGAGAGGAAAACAACTCTTAAATCTGCTCAAGAATAAGATCCCAGTTCATGTCTGTAGAACTTACTTCACACTATTGTATACTGGAGTGATGCATCACACAGTCCAGGACACGGCGCTGAAGCTGGAAGGATTCTCCCTGCATGACATCACCATTGGTCCTGGTAAGAGAGACAGGGCTGAGGAGCAAGGGTGCCCATTAGGAGGAGAACAACTTAGAAAGGAGCTGGGGCCCCAGCTGGGCTAGATGCCAAAATAACTACCTGCCCGAGATGACTACATTGGGGTGAGCAGGACACAAACAAGGTTGAGTAAACTTAGCAAAAGACAGGATACTTTATTTCTGGCCAATATGGAAATATTTGACATTAGTGCCCCTTTTCAGACTGTTTTTACCAGAAAAGGAAAATCATAGTGTTCTCTATAAAATAAAAAAAGTACTCTTACATAAAAGTATATGTGGAACTACAGAATGAATAAACATCATTCATTATTTAATAGAAATATGGGATTTTCCCAGTAATCAAAATTTGTATCACTCATTTAAGTGGAATGGCCAAGTATCAAATATGTCTTAGGGTGAGGCAGGAAGTGGCAGTAGCTCATAGTCAATAGTTAGTCTGAGAAATGGTGAGAGCTGACTGGGAAGGCTATTTTACTTTACCTTGCCTTATCAGACTCACTTTGGATAATAAACTCCCCAGATGTATAACTTGTGTTCAAAGATCTTAAATATATTGAGTAAGCTGGTGCTCATAGGGAAATTTTTTCCATGCATTTCTTCCATCGAAAGGAACACATTTCTTCAGTTAGGTTTCACGCAATTTGTGTTAATAATGTTAAGTGTTTTTTCTCTCTCTCATTCCCTCTCCTTCCTTTCTTCTCTTTTTTGTTCCTTCTGCTTTTAGATTCAAGGAGATAAAATCTCAGGCTTAGCTTCTACATATCAAAGAAACCCTGTTATTACATTTACTATATTAACTGGAAGCAGTCATTCATTGCCAAGTATATTAAATTGAGGAATTATGAAACAGTGAAAGCATGGAAACAAGAGCTATTTTTCCCCATCTAGATTACTGACCTGAATGTACTAATGGAAGGAAAGAAAAAGGGCTTCTATTTCTTGGATATGATGAATTACAGTAATAGAAGACATGCATTTACATTTAACAATTCTATTTGCTTGGTTTGTACAATATATGAAAACTTATTACCATGGTTTTAATTTCTTTTGCATATTATGTTAAAATTTTTCATGGAAGTGTACATTATGCTCTAAAATTTACTTCTTTTCACAGGCTTTATTTTAAAACAATATAAATTTAGGTACTGTTTGATCTAATACTGGCAGATATAACATTAAAAATTATAAATGAGTGAGTGTTATTTTCACCTCTCTGCTTCTCTGATTCAGTATGTTGACTTGCCCCATAAACAGGAAGTTAACAATCTTAGAACTAGGAACTTAAATTAACTTCTGGATCCTAAAAATTACTAAAATTATTTTATTATTTCTTGATGTAAACATTTTGATTTTTATTTCATTGTTTTGTTTGTCTTATATGTATTTACTACCAATATTGTAACAGTTGGTACACTGGCTACTAGGTTAGAAAGATACAGCCTCCTTCCTTCAGAGAAGCATAAAACCTAGTGGAGAAGATAGCTAAAAACTGCAAACTAGTTCAGTACAGAAGGGGAAGGGCCAGGAAAAATGCTGTGTATGAATCCATACATATTTTAAATTACAAATAGTGATCCTATACTAATTT